TCCTGTACAGCGGGTTTCATACTGTCAATATTTTTCTTTTTTTATGTGTTGTCTCTAATTGAAGTTGCCCAATACGTAATAGTTATCAGTCGTGTCGTAGATGATAACTGATTATTCATATACTAAAGGCTCAACTTTTCCCCCTTTTTTTAGGGAATGTCTAAGCAATACGTCCAAAATGTATTACCTACAGAAATCTTAATATATATCTTTAAACGTGTAAGGTTCCCTAAGAAATTATCATTAAGCTGTAGGCGGCTAGCAATACTTTCCAAAGACCCACAAGTGAAAGCAGCATGGATTATTTATCAGTTTGGCACAGCGCATTGTCTTTTTTATGCAATTAAATTAGGACCGTCATTTTTGGACGTGGTAGTTGCACAAGCAATAATCGCACAAGGAGGCATACTTTCCAGATATTTTATTCAACGACTTCATATGAATTTTGGTTCTTATGATGATAAGTTGATAGAACTAAAGGTTGCTCATGGTGTAGGTTCATCACAATCACAAAAATTACAGAACATTCCTTGGGCTAGTAATCTGCCAACTTCTGTCTATACATTCCTACTGAAGGCAACAGAAGACTTGTATGATCCTAAATTGTATTTAAAAGGCAATGATATGGAGCTATTTCATTTTCTTACTGGGGGACCACACCCGATTCACTACGCTCCACTTGTATTGACAGAAAACATTGATCAAATCAAGGATCTGATATTACGCTTTAAATTCATTCCATTTCCTCCGAGAAATTTTGATGACCTTCCAGAAAATAATAATCAAGAGAACATTCCTTCCGAAAGATATCCTTCTAGAGATGGATACGAAAATAATCGGCAATTGAATATCGTTGCCAAGTCAATCTTAATCCGCAAAGATATCGTTAATTTATGGAAGGAAATCGGTTATTATGAAATCTGTAATGACGTAAATGATCTCGTGATGCGAGGCGCGCTCCTTATCATGTTTCCACCTCAACCTTCGTCAAGGGGGTTTAAGCCTGACATCAAAGCCATTAATTCGAGATTAACTGAACTAATCGAAGTCGGATTTCAATTGACTTACTGTGCAATCCTTGACATCCTTATTATTAACAAAAAAAGATTAAAACAAGACGGAAAAATCTTATTGGAATCGCTTGCAGTAGTCAAACACGAATCGCTCGTTAGCTTATTACGTAATTGCTTAATAGAAACAATTAATCCGAAGTTAAAATTTAAAAGCCAATCTATTTTAAACTTTATATTTAAACTTCTTCCCGATTCCCCCGAAATCGAGTTTGAAAGGGCTTTTAAATTTTATTCGAATTTTCGCAAAATCTGAATATTTTTACGTTTATTGGTGGAAAAATTCTGATATTATGCATTTTACACGTGAACAATTATGTCTTTAAGTCTAAATATAACATAATAACTTTGTAATCGAAGTTTTCATATAAACTTCTTCATGCTCTAAAATAAAATATATATGCTTTATGAAGGTTTAATAATATGTATTAACCCTAAATCTAATTCTAGTCCTAATACAGTAAATATTATCTTTAAACCAAAAATATGGTTGCATCACAATGCGTTAATGGGTCATTTAATAAATTATAAATATATATATACAGTATAATTATACGTATTAACTGGATTCAAAAGTAAGCATATATTATCATAAGTTTAAACGTATTGACTGTTATAGCTTTTACAATAAATTTATCATTATATAGATTAGCATATTATTCTACGTCCCATTTCCTACTAAATGATCTAGTTTGCTAAAAAATAAGTCGTGATTATTTGTTAAAAAAAAAAAAAAAAAACTAGACATAGCATTATCTTTTTTTTTCATAATGTTATTCGATTAAATGTAAACTTTGAAATTTACGTTTCGCACGGTAAAATTTATTTCAATTAATCGAAATTACATTGAGAAAGTTGCCCATATTGAACAAAACAATTGAAATAATGTAAGGCTTCATATTAAATTGTGTTAATATAATAAATTTAAGTTAAAATAGGAAATGTACTTATTTTGAAACGAGTTTATTTTGTTTTCATTACATTTTCAAGTTCACTTAATTATATAATTATTGTCGCGGCTGATGCTGAAATTTGAACCTAATTTTATATAAAAATTAAAATTTTTTTCGAGTGTTTTTTATTTTTTTTTAGATTTAGGTTAAGATTTAAGGTGATAATTGATAATTAATGAGAATATATGAATTTTAATAAGCCTTATAATTTCAAATCGACCCCAATTTTCAATATCATCAATTTTAGCATCAGTCGTGACAATTATTATCAATTATTCTAAACCAAATAAAAATTTTTCTTTTGGAATCTCTAAGCGCTCCTATTTTTAGCATCCGTATTTACAAATTCGATTTTTAAAAAGTTTCTACTTGTTTGCATTGAAACTCCTCAATGAACTAAGTAATAATATATTACATTAAGGTTAGGACTTGATTGCAATATTCCTGGTTTATGGCGAAATTTGTAGGTAAATTTTTGTTAGAACGCAGAAGGTAGTTTCATATGCAAAAACTTTATCAGTGTATTTAGAAACTTTATTCGTCAATCTTTCACGAATAGAATGTTTCAGAATTAATGTTCAAATTCCTGATTTCGAGTAAAATCTCGAAGCTAAATGCTAACAGGCATAAGTAAAATGGATGCTTATATATCAGTTTTGCACTTTTAATAGAATGAAATTATTTTCTGAGATTGTCTTAAATTATATGAAAGATCAATAGAATATTCGTCTATATAAATCATTCATAAAATCAATCTTTTGTTTGTTAAAAAGTGGAAGAATTAGATTAATTGGACTGATTAATGTTAGTTATATATATGCACAAAAAAGTACTTTACAAAATTTTTCTAACAAGCAGTACGAATATGTAAAATTTCAATTACAAAATTAGCGACTACCGAATTGAATTGTTGGATGAATCTTTTAAACCAACGGTGTATAAAATAACAGCTTTAATTATATGAATAAAAAATAAAAATAAAAAAATAAATACAATTTTCAATTGTTAACAATATACATATTACCAGCGTAGAATATTTACATAGAATAACAACATAAAATATCTTATATAGAAATAGTGAATAGCTTTACGCTGGCATTGTATATCCATCGAAGGTTAAAAAAGACATATATATATAAATATTTTAAAATCTTTCAATTACAGTAGATCCATCATTTTATAAAGCCGTTGCATATAATTTTAAACCAAAGAAAAGCTATATTAATGCAATCATGAAATTGAATCTAAGGTTCAATAACCCATGGAACTTCGCCATCTTTTTTCTCAACCTTACACTTTCTCACAATTTCATCATCACAAGCAATTCGAATTTTTTCGGGTGTTGCAGGTAATCTAAAAGCTACTGGATCATTATTATCATTGCATTTTCTTTATTAAAAATAAATAGATAAAATAATGAATAAATGGATAAATTATCAGATAAAACATTAAAAAAAAAAACGTTAACTCTGGAAATAAAATACCTCGCAGCTTTAATAGCCTCTCTAATGGCAAAATAAACATTGCTTCCTAAAAGTAACGGTGGTTCACCAACTCCTTTACTACTATGAATTGAATTTATTTTAGATGCATTTGCACCTTCATACGTGTATATTCTGAAATCTTGGGGTATATCCCTAAAAAACACATAAAAATTTTAAAAATTTAGGATTCACATTAAAATAAATTAAAAAGAAGATAAAAAAAAGAAAAAGAAAATAAATAAACCTAGCCCCAGGTATCTTATATTGCTCAGGTCCTGTAGTGTACAAACTCCCGTTTGGAAAATGTAATGTTTCTTCATTAGTACACCAACCGATACCTTGTATAAAAGCACCTTCAATTTGTCCAACATCTATTGCATAATTTAAACTTCTACCAATATCCATACATAAATCAGTTCTTAAAATTGTATGGTCACCAGTTAATGTATCAATTTCAACTTCTGTATATGCTGCTCCCGTAGTAAAATAGGGAAATGAATTTTCACCGAGATCAGGAGCTTTATAAAATCCATTTGCGGATAAATTTACTCTATCATGGTATGCTGCACTAACAATCTAAATATAGTAAATTAAGAAATTCTTAAGTATTACATATCAAAAAAAGTTATTGTACTTAAAATATAGTAATATTTTAAATACCTCTTGGAAACTTTTATCAGGCATTTTTTCACGATATGGTTTTAACCTTTCGACTAAAGTTTTGCATGCATTATGAACGGCAAATCCATTAAGATCACTACCAGTACTTCCAGCAGTAGGTGATGCATTAATGACTGTATTTGTGGCACTTTCCATTAAATGAACTATATTTTGCAGAAAGCAATGATAATATTAGATAACTATATAATTTTATACTATATTACTAAAGATGCAATTTAATAAGACTTTACCTGTGCTCAAAGGAACATCTAAAGCTTCAGAAGCAATCTGTAACATCTTTGTATGAAGCCCTTGTCCTATCTCAACCCCACCTAATTTTTAAAAACAAATTAACAGTAAAATTCAAATAAATTCATGCAAACATTCATATAAATATAATAAAAAATATACACCATGACTTATGAGAACGCTTCCATCGATGTAAATATGTACTAAAGCTCCAGCTTGATTTAAAAACGGGAGAGGAAAACCGACACCAAACATTATTGGCATAAGTGCTAAACCTCTTTTACGCCATTTATTATTAGAATTAAAATCTTCAACTTCTTTCTTTCGTTTTTCAAATTCACTAAATTCTTTGACTTGTTGATAAACTGAGGGTAAACACCAATTTTCCATTGTTTGATTATAAGGAGTTTTTTGACCTTCCATATAAAAGTTCTTCTCCTATAGAAAAGAAGAATATATATATATATTTTTATTAAAAGTAATAAATACAAAATATACCGTATATGAAATCTTATAAATCACATACCCTCAATTCATCAACATCAATGCCCATACGCTCAGCAGCATCAATGATCATGGATTCGGTAATAAACGCCGCTTGAGGTTTTCCGAATCCTCTATATGCTGTATGTGATTGAATGTTGGTTTTGCAAGGATACCCAATAAACTGTACGTTCGGAATATAGTAACAACCATCAGAAGCTTGTAAAGCACATTGAGCTACAATTATGCTCATATCTGATGTTCCACCACAATTAAGGTATAACTGAAATAAATTTATAACAAAAGGTTAAAAAAATTTGAGATGAAAAAAAAAAAGTTGAAATTTTATGAAAAATTAATACCTTCAAGTCACACGCTAAAATTTTTCCTTCTTTAGTTAAACCAATTTTCCATCTTCCTAAGAATGGATGTCTTTGTCCTGTTATAATAATATCTTCATTACGATTTAACATACATCTAACAGGTTTTTTAAGATGCCAAGCACCAACAGCTATTGCTGATGATATATTACAACTTTTTGTTTCTTTTCCACCAAAAGCTCCTCCTACTCTTTTTACTCGACTAACTATTTTATTAGATGGAATACCAAGTACTTCAGCAATTCTTGTTTGAATTGAAGTTGGATTTTGAGTACTTGCATGAATTTCGAATTCATCATCTTCTTTTGGAATTACCAATGCAGTATTGGTTTCCATGTAAAAATGCTCTAATTAAAAGAAAAGATAGAGATTAAATTTAATTTTGTGAAAATAAAAACTATAAATATTACGGTAAATACGGATAAAATTTAAAAATTAAATTCACCTTGAGCACCTGATCTTGCTTCACCTGCATAATAAAATTAAACATTACAATTAGTAATATGAAAAAAAATTCTTTATGTCTTGTACATTTCATTCTTGTACATTAAATACCTTCGAAAATATAATCGGCCTCTTGAAACCCTTTTTCTACATCACCCCGTGCAAGTTGAGGAGTTATTGGATAATAACTATTTTGTTCAATTGCTTCATCAATAGTTATAATATGAGGTAATTCTTCATACTCGATTTTCACTAAATCTTTAGCTTCTTGAGCAATTTTTTTTGTTTCAGCGACTATCAATCCAATTGCTTGTCCTATATATATAAACAAACAAAAATTAACATCTCGAATAATGATTGTATTAATAATATTTAGACAATAATAATTATAATAATGAATAAGTTCAACTTACCAACGTAAAAAACTTCTTTAGATGCGAAAATTTCTTCATCTGGTAAAACAAATCCCCAGCAATTTTTTCCAGGTACATCCTTTGCAGAAAAAAATCCTTTTACACCAGGGATATTTAATGCTTGAGTTGGATCAATACTATTTAAAAAAAAATACAATGAAAATTAATATTATAATTACGATTACAATTAGATGAAATCATAGAATTGTTAAAAAGGTTGAAATTACTTTAATATTTTAGCATGAGCTTTCTGTGATGTAACAAAAGCAGCGTATAATTCACCCTCGACCTTTGGCATGTCATCAATATACACCGCTTCACCAGTTGTTTGTTTCATGGCAGATACGTGAGAAATTGGTTTACCAACAATTTTATTACCTTTCCTATTTAATAATTTGTAAGTATAATTCTATTTAGTTTTGAACCAATTAACTAAATGTACCGCAAGTTCACACTCAATATTAGGCTGATTTCTTATTATATTATTAAATATTGAATATTGAAAAAGAATATATATTTACTCTGGTCGTCCTATAGTTTGACTACCTTTAGAAACACTACGTGTGATTTCTCCAAGAGAATTTTCTATATCAGGGCTCAACGCAGTTATGTTTGCAGATTTTATAACATCATACCAAAACTTATTTATAAATCCAATTACTAAAGTTTTACGATAAGTTGCCATTCCGCCAGTAACAGAAAAGCTTAATTGAAATTCCTAAAAATATATAAATAAATAATGAAGAAATAAACATTTTAGTTAGTTAGTTAAATAAATATATTATGTATATAATTGTTTAAACGAAAATTTATGTATATAATTGTTTAAACGAAAATTTATGTATATAATTGTTTAAACGAAAATTTATGTATATACCTCACATAATATTTCATTTAATTGTTTTAATACATCTTCATCACCCCACTTTTTACCCAAAATAAAATTTTCGGAATTTGGAGCTCTAATTACAGCTCCACTCATTCCTCCAAAAGCAAAACAAGCTTCTTGCACATGGGCATCATGATCCAATGATATTGATAAAGCAGCATTAACAATTGCACGATCAGCATAATGTTTTTTTGATTGTTTATAAGTTCTAACATATTGATCATGATTAGTACATGGAATATAAATTTTTTCCAAAATTTCCGAACTTTCACGACAATCTTGATTATATCCTGTCCAAAAAGATATTGATGGAATAGGTCGACTTTTTATTGATGTAGATTGTATAGAAGTAAGTGAAAATATAGATTTAGATGAAATGATAAGAGGAATTAAATCCGAAGTTGGAGAGTTAGCAATAATGTTTCCAGCTAGTGTTGAAGTATTACGGATTTGATTAGTAGCCAATCGTTTAAGACTTTCTGAAAGTGCTTCAAATGTTTGAATTTGATGAGGCTTTAAAAAATAAATGTAATTTAGCAAAAAAATTAATATATTCAATGTTTAGTATTCAAATAATGATATTTTAAATTTTTTTTTTTTTTTTAAAACCTTGTAATAATTGCATGCTTCTTTTAAAACAGTTTGGAATTGAGTAATTGTCATATTTGCACCAAGAATCAATCCATCCTCTAGATTTAAATTATAAGTTAAATAACATTTTTTTAATGAAATTATAAATCAAATATTTATATATTAAAAAATATATATTTACCTTTAAATTCCCAAGATTTTAATTCTGGTACATCACCCGCATAAATTCTAACATCATATTTTACATTCTCAAATTTTGTCTCTATACCAATTCTAGTGTTACCAGATACTAGAACAGCATTTGGATACTCTGCTTTCAATGATAATAATTGATTCAAATTAACAGGTCTGAACCATTTTGTTTTATTACTACTAAAATGCAAAGGTTCAGGCGCATATTTCATTAACGATGGAGGAAAGATTAATTCTTGAGTTGAATCATATTTTTTGAAATTTATCTTTGTATTATAAATGAATTTAAATGAATTTAAATGAGATAAATTTGTAACTAATAATAGTATGATAAATTAAAAAAATAAATAACTTACTTGTGAAAAATTATGGTTGAAAGTAGTATCGGCGTTATCAATATTTTTCAATTTACAACAATCAGCTTTACCACATCCAACATTCTAAAGTAAGACAATTAAATCAAAAGATATAATCCGAGATATACAGTATAAAGACATAAAATTTATATTCTTTTTATATACCTCTTGAGGTTCATGATTTTCATCTAGGCCATCAGTTTCTACGCACGAGTTATTCGCAAACTATTGAAAAAAAATAGAGATTATTAAATGTTTAATAACACATAACAAAATATATAATTACTATTTACCGTCTTTGCAGCGTCCAGTATAGGGCGATAGCCAGTACATCTGCAAAGATTACCTAATGACGATATTTTATCATTAAATTCAATAATTATTATTATTGATATAGTTATAATATACGAAAGAAATTTATGATTACCATCAAAACATGCTTCAACCTCTTCCTCAGATGGATTGGGATTGTTACGTAATAAACTATAGAGTGACATTACAAATCCCGGAGTACAAAACCCACATTGCGAACTAAATAATCAAAATAAATTTATAATTTTAAAAAAAATTTAAATGATCAATTCAAGTATGATATAAAAAAGATGAATTTACCCATGCAACAAAGCTAAACGCTCCTATTAATTTATTGTATCATTGATTTATAGCATCTCGAAAACGCAAATTGATATTATTGTATACACTAAAAATTCATACCTGAATAGGATGAGGATTTTTAACATTTCCGACTCCTTCAATTGTAATAACATGTTTACCATCAACAGAACATAATGGTATCAAACAAGCAGTAGCAGAAATATGAGAAATCTTGTCAAGCGTTTTATCATAAGAAGATATCATTATAGTGCAAGAGCCTTTTGAAAGAAAGATAATACCAATGATAATAATAATCAAATAATCATAACGTAATAATAGATGAATTAATAAAATATTTCAATTAAACTTTATTTAATAAAAAAGTATTATAACATACCGCAACCACCCTCCCCACATCCTAACTTTGTTCTAAAAAGATTTCAATAGTAAATTATAAATAAAATTAATTAACTTTGCTCATAAAAAAATTTGATATATATACCCAGTAAGTCCAATAGACCGAACATAATCAAGTAAGGTAGTATCCGGGTCAGGATTATCAATTTCGACTCTTGTACCATTAATATAAAAACATAAATTATTTCTAAAAGTCATATTGAAAAAAGAAAAAAAAATTTTAAAATTTTTTTTGTTTATATCGCTCTTCAAACGCAGAAAAAAGCAAGAAGAGTAATGGCAGAAAAAGGTGAATAATTTGGTTTATATCGATTATCTGATAGATGTATAATTTCGGTTTGTTATTGAGTCTAACCTGATACATAACCAGACATTACTTGTTTACTTTAATTTAATTGGAGATTACGTAAGATCAAATAGGCTAAATTTGTTATTTATTTCCCACGATTATATGCGTATGCAACTTCAAACGTTATGCATAAGATAAAATTGTCTATTTCTCGTGTGGTCACTACTGATTTAAGAATAGTTTATGACAAATTAATGACATTCATTGACGCATTCTTTGGCTCATTCATTGATGCATTGCGATAGTATAAGCTACCATATATTGCAATTTCGCTATCTCTTTTTGGGCCTCAAATTATATATAGTCGTATTAATTTTCAATCTTTCCACGATCTTTTTATACAATAAACAAATTATGTCCCATATCATCATAAATCGAACTGATACATTAAAGTATGAGTACCCGAAAATTCATGAAGCCGAAAGTTTTGTAATTTTAATTTCATAATCCAGACAGCTCAGTGATATATTCTGATTTTTAGGATTTGAATCTGTTTCATGCTAATTGAATTTCTGTCTGCGAAAGTAATATTAGGGTTTGATGATCCTACAAAATCTTAATTCGGACAATTAACATAAATGCATGCCGGAATAATCATCTGAAAATGGTAAAAAATTCGATAACGATATTGTAGTTTATTATAATGTTACACATAACATATAAAAGGTATAATGAAAGTTTATTTAGATCCGGAGGGATATGCTTTTTTTTTGTTTTTATTTGGTTATTTATTTATTTATTTCAATTTTCCCTTTAATTTCTATTTTTAGCCATTTTATTGTTTGAATAGACAAAAATTTTCAGTTTTCGTATTGATACCGTGACCCAAGTAAGACATGTAACACTGGGGTATTTCATATACTAATTAATCAAACATATGCGAGGTATTATAGTAAAAATCAATAGTACAGATTTTATGCAT